TGTGTGTGTGTGTGTGTGTGTGTGTGTGTGTGTGTGTGTGTCCATGTCCAGAGCCTCCCCTGGTTTTATTTTTACTTTACCCCACAAAGTTTGATTCCCTTTGGAATAGGGAATAATCCTGAAACCAGTTCCCATCTCCCATGGGTGATGTATTTTCTTTTAACTTTTTTCTTGTAGTATCAGCGAGAGCTTTCTAACTGTGAAAGGTGCTGCCCTTTTTCTACCCCGGGGAAATGGATCGTCCACACCAAGAATCAGCCACAGGCGCAACAAGCATGCAGGTAAAGCCCCACATACCCATTTCTGGTTACTCTGCCTTTTGTTCTGCTCTAAAAGGCTTACTACTTTATCACTATTTCTTTCTCCTACACTTCTGTAATAGTGAAAGAAAGCATTGTTCCCTGCTATATTTTTTTTCTCACTCCCACATACCATATTTCTAGCACTTAGCAGGAATACCTTATACACATAATAAAAAAAACCATTGTCATTGAATTGATTCTTACTCATTGCAACCATGAGGTTTTCTTGGCTGTATCTTTATAGAAGCAGATTCTCAGGCCTTTCTTCCTAAGTGCCACTGGGTAGGTTTTAGACCTGTAGGTTAGTAGCCAAGCACAAACCGTTTGCAGCCCAGAGACCTGACAGTTGTCATAAACGTTTAATAAATTTTTGTTGGATGACAGTATTGCTGTTGGGTGCCATTGATCAGTTCCAATCCACGACGACCTCGTGCACATCTGAATGAAGCCCTGCATGGTCCTGCGCCACCCTCACAATGGCTTGAGCCCATTATTGCAGCCACGGTGTCAGTCCATCTCCTGGAGGGCCTTCCTCCTTTTTTGCTGCCCCTCCACTTTAAAAACACTCTTGTCGTCATCTTGGACTTCGTGATGAAGTATTGATAACAAAAGCATGTTCAGATGTTCCCTGGGAGTTTATGAAAATTTAACATCTCGTCTAATCAAAGATTAGGAGCCCTGGTGGCACTGGCAGGTAAGCACTGGACTGATAACTAAGAGCCACTCTGCGTAAGAGAGTTGAGGAGTCTGCTCCTGAAAAGATTTACAACTGAGGAAAACCCTCTGTAGGGCTACTGTGGGTCAGAGTTAACTTGACAGCAGGGGCTTAGTTAGAGGTTACATTTCTTGTTTCTTTCACTTCTGTAGTGATGGTGAGAGAAGAGTGAGACTGTATTTTAATTAAGCTAAATAAAAGTAAACACTGACATTGCCGTGATAAGCATCATATCACATACTGAACAACCAGCTCTTAAATGCCTGTAATCTTGAATGTGTACACACCAAAAAGACATTTAACACAGATGTTTATAAACACAAGGAATAACATTATCAAATAAATAATCAACTGTGTGAATTGAGCAACTATATGTAAGAATCCGATTTTGAAATAACTACTAACAGTAACTGTAAATAAACACTTGTTACATTTTGGGGGGATGGTACGGGAATTTAGAAGTCAATGTGAACACAGTGGTTGGAGAAACCCTAATCAGTGCTATACAAAAGGGCTTGCTTGTTGTCCTGAGTGTGCCACTTTGATGTGATGTGCCCGGCAGGAGTGGAAGAAATTGCAATTCGTGTTCTGAAAAGAACAAAGAAAACAGCAGACCCTAGAATGTATAGGTCAGAGGGGAAAGCCAGATACACTAGACCCCACTAAGTCAGTAATTGAGTTTAGCTGACGAGTATGTCAAAAATAAATAAAATAATAGAAATCCCCATTGGGGAAAAAAAGTCAAAATATGAAGTGATTGTTTCTCAACATGTCCCTCATCTAGGTCTGAATCTTTCTAAAGCCTATGTTTCTTTCACCTCCCTGAAGAATGCTCAGCTTTTCCGTTTACCCTGCACACCCAAGAAGAGCCGTTTGGGCCGTCTGGAGGCACTCAAATCCTCCTGTTCCTTCAAAATGGTTGTCTTTTGAAGAGAAATCTGAACAGGGGCAGCATCCGAACTGTTGGGTGGGGCGGGTAAGGGTACCTCAGTGCAGCCTCCCAGGACTGTTTCTTGCCGGTACAGTATGCAGTTTCCTTTAAGAACCTTTCCCTCGGAGCACACACACTGGTACAGATAAGAGCTCTCAACACATGGGATTCAGGACAGATGAAAACCTCAGGAACAGTAGTGGGAGTAGTGATATCATGGCACTAGGGGCATGGTGGGGGCGGGGTGGGGAGGAGAGGGAGAAAGGGAGAACCCATCACAAGGTTGGATATGTAGCCACCCCCCCAGAGGGACTAATGACAGAAATGTGGGTGAAGGGAGACAATGGACAGTGTAAGACACAAAATAACTACAATAATATATACTTGATCAAGGATTCACGAGGGTGGGAGGGAAGAGGGGGAAAAGAGGAGCTAGTACCAGGGGCTCAGGTAGAAAGGAAATGTTGATGGCAACATGTACAAGTGTGCTTGATACAGTTGAATGATGGATTGTCATAAGATTTGTAAGTGCCCCCCAAGAAGATGATTAATATTTTTTTCAATTTTTAAGAAAGAAGGAAAAGAACTTCTCCCTAATACGCCCCATTGTTATCCTGTGCCCTCTTAGAAAATCTATCCAATTGGGATGGAAATAAAATAAACCACACAGTAACCATACCTTCTGAGCTGACTCTGCCTTGATTTACCAAGTCTTATCCTCAGTCACAATTCGCTCCATAAAATCATCTCCTTAGCTTCTATCTCACTTAAAGACTAATGGAAAGTTTAGCTCTTTGAACTAACTCGTCTCCATGTTCCACTTTTGGCACCCAGCGAACCAAAAGCTTACTGAGGCCCCAATGTTTGCTTAAAATTGCAAATGCCAGAACCATTGAGATTCCCGCCTCTGAGTAGTTGTCAGATCAATGCTCATTCTAGAAACTTCTTCCACCAGTGTCTGGACTTTAGCCACAGTTTTCTTCTTTCATTGAAGTTCATGATCTTGGGCTATCTGTGAGGTCGTCTGATCGGCCTTAAAATGCTTAATCCATCTAAAAACTGTTAGGTCGGGGCGCAGCATTCCTGTAAACTTGTTGCAAAGCATCAGTGATTTGGGAGTGTGTCCACTTCAGTTGTGTTAAACATTTTATCTTGGCCCTGACCTGAGAATCATTTTGGCCCATGACACCAAAAGTATCCCCATTTTTGAAGTTGTCCTTTTGAGACAAGTTTATTACAGAGAGAACTTACCTGCAGCCACCCATTGCTTGGAGAGGCACGTTTAAACATGTTTTGTTTGGAATAAGCTGTGTATGTGTGAACTGGAACTGGAACCGGAGCCGTGATATTTTTTTATTCCCCTTGGGTTTGACTGCATACAGTGAGGTTTCTTTTGAGTTTTGTCTTCTCACCATGTTCATAGCTGTCTTGCTTCTGGTTTGCCCTCATCGAGCTGCAAATGTAGCAGCTCAGAATTATAATCTTGTCTCGCTGGACACACATTATCCTCCCCCCAAACACTGTAGCCAGGGAACATTTTGTAAAGAAAAAAGCAGCCTTTGATTAAGCTTTCTAAAATCTTTCCCCTCGATGCCTATCACCAAAAAGAAAAACAAGCACTTCCCTAAAAAGCTTGAATGCACAGAGGAAGTAGCCAGAGTTAAGCGTTGTGTTTCTGTTTGGTGTGGCTATTTGTCACTTACAGTAAAAAGACGACAAATTATTGGTTTAAATTCAACTTGTTGGACTAAGGTGGTGGCCAGATTTCCCTGTGACATGTCCCTGGCTTTTCGAGTTTCTGGCCCTAGTTGACTTCATACTTCCAAATTCAATTGCCCACCAGGCTTCTGCTTGATATTGCGCTGAGCTTTCCCCATACTGAAAAGAAAAGCAGTGTTAACACACACTGAATGGACTTGGTTTGTGACCCAGAACAGATGAGGCAGCGTGAGTATAAAGCCAGACCTTCGCTCGTGCTGAGTTCACGGTAACTGAGAAGATGAAGGCAGAATCAAGAGCACATCAAGAACTTGCTGTGTCTGGTTGAACTCTGTTCTTAAGTATGTTTCTCGAACTAGTTAGAACTTTTTATCTAAGCAATTTTAAAAGTGGGTGAGTGCAGAGTGGAAACTCAAAGCCCATCAGTAGGCAACTAGACACCCCCTTACTGAAGGGTTGTGGGGAGGAGAT